GTCTATCCATTATCTCTATCTTAAGAACTAGGAAATTTAAGCTCAGAGGGATTAAGTAATTTACTCAAGTTCTCCCAGGAAATGAGCCCCACTTGGCATTTGCATTTGAGTTTGTACTTTGTAAATATGAATCTAGAGCTCCCTTGCATCAAAACTTGTTGTTCTGCATCTTAAAGGGTCCTTTCTAAGAGAAGGGCTGTCATTAGAGTCAAAAATGTTACCTTCAGTTAAAGGGCCAAATGGCTATGTAAGGAATGGCTTTTCTACAACAGGGATATTCCCTTGTTTGAGAGATAGGTGGAGAGACCTGTAGTACAGGGCAGGCTCCTCCCTCAACAAAACTCAGGTAGGTGGGGCTAATTAGCTTATCTTTAAGTATCTATGACTAGTGTGGAGCCTTCTGTGGTGTATGCTTAATGTTGTTCCAGGAATAACCCACAAAGGAAAAAGTGACAGAGTGGGAGGGGAGGGTCCATGGGCTAGCTCTGGACAGAAAGGGGTTCTCGCCACCTGGCGGCTGTGCCTGGAACAACGCTTTTCTCTGGGTGGCAGGCGAAGAAAATGGAAGGCTCCTTTTTTGGACATGGCTGAGTGTGTCCAAGATCACGTAGTTCCAGCATCATTCCAGGCTGGAGTGAGACAGGGCCCGTGCCCAGGAGACAAACAAATTTCCTCTATGAACATCTATGCTCCTTGAAGGAGGCAGGAGAAAGGGTTTCTGCTGTCACCAGCTCCTCTGCTCTTCACTGGGTGCTTAATAAATAAATACTTGGTATTGATATTTGAGAAAACAGGTGGTGTGACATCCTGTAGTTCATCTTTACCCTTCACTGAAGATTCCAAAAGAGACAACTAACCTGAAACGAAGGGTGACTCTCAGAACTCAGGACATGGGTTTGCCATGGGCCAGCTTATCTCCTCAGCAACATGGCCCCTCAGTCCCCTTCCTCCCTGTGCTCACTCTTCAACCTCCAGTCACAGGTAGCTTCTCAGCCCCTGAGGTGGGGCCTTCAGCACCCCACTCTTGCTGAGTGGACAAGGATACCATTCCCCGGCAGTCAGGGAGGACAGGAATGCCCCCTGTACTGGCCTGAAAGACACCAAACACCATCCTCACATCAGACAGAGCCTCATTTTCCTCACCTGGAAAAATCTAGACAGAAGCATCTCCCTCAGAGCATGGTTGCAAAGATATCAGCGGGGCTAGATGTGTGGAGTAGTAGGACCCCATAAAGGACCAGCACAAGTGTGCATAGTTAGTACGTAGGGCAATTTCTGGGAAAGTAAATATGTCTGTCCCCAAACTCCTCAGCCAGCCAGACAGGAGTCCTGTCTACCCATCCCAGGCCAAGATTTTGCCCCAAAGCTTCCTTTGGAATCATTGGCTTTCCTCATCCCTTCTCCCTGATCCCAAGAGCAGGTAAAAAAGACAAGAGGGGCGTGGTAAGAACAGATATTTTATTGTATTCCACAGTAAGGGAGAGAGGAAGGAGGGATGCTGGGTGACAATGCCTCATGCCCTCCCCTGGGCTGAGTGGTCTCAACCCAGGATTCTGACCAGCCACGGGACACATGGACTTGAACTGTTTTGAACTTGCTGCAGGACCCAAAGTGACTGCCTAGCGTGTGTGCTTGGGTGGGTCTGTATAAAGTAAGCTTTCTGTGAGAAGGGACCCTGCTCCCTCCTTGCTCCGTGAAGGAACAGCAGCCTCCACATTTCAGGGCCTAGTGGAGAGACTCAGGGATGTCCGGTGCATTGCAACTTATTCATACTCGCTTCTCTTTTTCACAGTGGGGAGTACTCTGACTGGTGACATACAGCTGTGAAGACAGCAGAAGGGCAGCCCCCTTCCTGTAATACTGGAGGCCTGTGCAGGCCCCAGGCTCATGGCCTACACAGGCTGACTTGGAAGGGCTTCTCCTGACACTAAGCAAGCAGTAATCCCTGCAGATTTATTGCTGGAGGGCAGAAACCAACCTTACCTACGTTGCCTTGTGTGCTCAACCTGTCCATCCCCCAACTGAGCCTTGGGTTTCATGTTACCTCAGTGAAAAGGGCAGAAGCCTCCCTGAGCAAGAAGCTGGTGATTGGGGCTGGGGGCAGGCAGGGCAGGAGACCCTTATAGGCATACTCCTGCCCTACCCCAACTCATGACTTATAGTCCCGAGCTCTTGTGCCTCATGGTGGGCACTGCATGACAGCACAAAGTGGTAGTGGTGGAAACCTCGTACAGGGACTTGGGGGCCTGCCCCACTCTGGCCACCTCCTGCCCCTCCAGGAAAGCTGGGGCTGGAGTGTAGCTTTCCAGGTGATCCCATCTGCTCTTGGCTCCCCTGAGGAGGCAGCAGAAATGTCAGAAGCACAGTTGGGGAAGCTGTTCCTTTCTGAGCTGTCAGAACCATTCCAAGGACAAACGCAGGGCAGAGGTGCTGTGAGAGGCCCTCTCACAGCATGGGTTCGCCATGCTAAGACACCTAGTACTTTCCCTGCTGAAGAGCTTGTGACTACAGTGGGAAGAGCAAAAGGTTGACTGGAGAATAAAATTAGGGGCCTCCCCCTCCACAAGGCCCTCCCTCCCATCAGAGGTGTAAAGATGGTGAGTCACCAGCAAGAAACACGTGCCTTTCCCCACAGCTGGAGCTTCCTGTGGACACTGTGCTGGGGCCTTACCCATAGAGCTCAGAGGAAGAGGCAAGGGAAGCAGAATGGTCTTCCAGAAGGTGGTGACCACTAGGGGGAGAGGGGAGTCACAAATCAACACCCAACACACACCCACACTCGTGTATGTGCACGACACACACACACTCCACACACACACATGCACACGCACTCACACAGAGTTCTAAGCCCTACATATAACACGCAGCAAAGACACAGCAACCAGGACAGGGCCTGGCCCATAGCAAAAGGCTACGAGGAACACTATAAGCAAGCAGACAGCCCCAGCTCAGCCACCTCCCACAGGCTTGCAAGCTGGGGCCTGGCCCAGCCACGCTACAAAATTAAAAATATATCAAATATACAATGAAAATAGATCTGTACAGCACTGAGGATGAAAATAGTCCACCAGCCACAGTATGATATTGGATTTGTCATTTCACAGCATTTACACCCACGTGTACAGATTGAATGTACAATAGAAATAGCACAAAGAGTATAGATAGTGGAGTGTCTCTCCTGGGGCCTGGTTTTCCTGTTGCTAATTCTGCTTGGGACTAGGCATGGGGCCAGGTAAGAGGTGTTGTTAGGTAAGGGGGCCATGACAGAATGCTGTACCCTCAAAGTGCATCTCCGTGGAAAGAGATGAGCTCCTCTCTCCTCACATCCTAGGACAGGTGGGGCCAAGAGGGCTAGAAAAGAGAGAAGGTATGGGGGACTGATGAGTAAGGGAGATGGCAAACTGGGTGGATGGACCCCTCCAGGCTGGGGACGGAGGTAACCAGAGGACCCAGGGGTAAAGGAGGAGGCCTCGTCTGTCTGTCTCAGTGCTGAGAGCAGTGAGGGCTACAAGACTCAGAACCCTCCTTGGAAATGCTCAGGCCTGCTCCTGCCCTGCTCACTATTCACTCAAGAATGGAGCCAGTCTTTCATTCCATCTATAAATCCATCCATCCATCTATCTATCCATCCATCCAACCACCCATCTCTGCCGACATTTATTCTCCAGTCAGGTTCTGAATCCTCACAGGTGGCACTGGAGGGCAGCCTATCTTCCAAGGGAGGCCCTGAAGGTAAGGGGGTGGGGAGTAGGGATGCAGCCCTTTGCAGGCGCTAAACCTCAGGACAGAGGTTCTGCCTTGCCCTCGGCAGACTCCTATGTTCATGGCTGCCTGTGGTGCTGCCTGTCATGGGCCAGGGAAGCTTGGGAAAGTTTCCAAGGTGTCTGCACACTATGTGCACACAGGTGGCTGTGCTTGTGCAACAAGGAGAGTGAATGGCAGCCCATAGGGGCAGTGAAATTACCTGTCTTTCCCCCAAGAACAAGGACTCCTAGTGTCGATCTCCAAGGAACCCTGATCCAGAGAAGCTGCCACTAGACAAAAAATCAGGCCCCAGGTGAGGGGACAGGGAGTGTGCTTCAATTGTGCTCCAAACCATCTAAATTGTGCTGGGAACCATCAAGGTGTGCTTTGGAAAACTTGCTTTGTGCTTGCACTGTCCTCTCTCTTCCCTTCTCTCTCTCTCTCTCTCTCTCTCTCTCTCTGTCTGTCAGAAAGAGGCAGAGGCCACCACCTGGGCTCCAGGTTGGATAGAGGGGCTGGGAGATGGCTAAGTCCTAATTGGTCAAGGTGGGAAGGATCTGGGCCCACTCACTGCCCTCCTCCCATGCAGGATGCAGAAATATACCCTGCCCACCTCAGCAGGGGCAAGGACATCCAAAGATTCACCTATAGCCAGAGGCCAAGGAGCCTCCTTTGCTGCCAAGGTTCAAACTCAAGCCAAAAGCACCTATCTTACAAAGCAGGATTTGAGAGTTTCTGTATACTTCCTGCCAAGCTTGAGTCCTGGCACATCTTCCCCATCCCTGTCAGGCAGCCTCCTGGCTCAGGAGCAGCCCAGTCCAGGTGGGACAGGATGACAAGTCCTGTTCTTATGGCAGACCGAGACAAAGTCCTCCTCCGGGCACCCTCAGCCCTGATGGCTCTTATCACCTCCACCTAGCAGCACAAGGGGACTCTCCCCCTGACCTAAGAACTGAAGGTGGTAGGTTATAAGAAGATGAGTTGACTCCTAAAGTGGCTACTTGGAGTCCCCCATAATGGGATTCAGGATTTCTGGATTGTTCTGGTTACATGGCTGCAATTTGGTGAGAGGTTCTCAGAGAATTAGATGAATTAGGGGGTCTGGATTGGAGACAGAGCTGTCTCCAGCCTCCTGCTCAGAGCTAGAGAGCAGGGTCTGCTGAGACTGGGGTGGGAATGTGGCAGGGTGGATCCTCTCTCCTTGGGCAGAGGGCCTGGCCTGGGCCTGGTGGCCATTGTGGAAGAAAAGGCCAGGCCAGGCAAGTGGGCAGGTTGGGTGTGGGGAGAGGAGGGCAGGTTGGGGGCAGTGGTCACAGCTCTGACTCAGGGGTGCTGGCCAGGAGGTAGCCGCTTCCATAGCGTCCATTGGGGTTGCCACTTGTCTCCAGGGTTGACGTGCTGCCAGGCCCCAGATAGGAGCGGTGGGTAGGCATGGGGGACGGTGCCTCACTGGGCACCTTGCTGAGGATAAAGCGAGTCTCATCGTTCTCCTCCAGGTTAGAGATGTCCTTCATCATGCGGCCCTTCTTGTAGGACACAGAGAGGGTGTTGGAGCCATCAGACAGCAGGTGGAAGTGCCTCAGGATGAACACCACAGGGATGGGCAGGGTGGCCACAGCGATGAGGACGATCAGAAGTGCCATGGCCCAGTTAGGGAAATACAGGTAGCGCTCAGCAGCCTGGAGATGGGTGGTGGTGAGGGCTGTGGTCAGCACTGTGACAAGTCCCTGCTTTCACCCCCCTCCCCCAGCCTACAGGACAGTCTCTTCCTTCCCTCACCCTTGGTCTGCCACTCCTCGCTCCTCCCATCACCCTGGCCAGGCATCAGGGGGCACTACTTAAATTCTGCTGGGATCACAATGGCTAACTAATCTCAGCTTCTATCTGTAAAAACGACAGGTAATTCTACTCCATAGACACGGAAAGAGGCTATGGTTAGAAAGGATTGGATAAATGTGTTACTGAGCCTGTTTCCCCACTTGTGTTTCAGGGATAATTCCTCCTTCTCAGGGTTGTTGCAAAGGTTTGGTGTGCAGATCACACCAGCAGGGCCTGGCCCAGAGTAGGTGTCCTTTAAAGGGTTATTCTATTGCATTAAAGGCTTGAGGTCAGACACTAGTGGCTCATGCCTGTAATCCCAGCTACTTGAGAGGTTGAGATTGGAAGGATTGTGGTTCAAGGCCAGCTGAACCAAACAGTTCATGACACCTCATCTCAACCAATAGGTGGGCATGGCTCTGCACACGTTATCCCAAGCTATGCAGATAGTTGAGATCAGCAGGTTTGTGGTTCCAGGCCAGTCCAGAGGGGAAAAAGTTTGGAAGACCCCATCTCAATGGAAAAAAGTCTGAGTGGGGTGGCATGTGCCTGTTATCCCAGCAAAGGAAGGAAGCTTAAAATAGGAGGATTGCAGTTCAGTTCAGCCTGGGCAAAAAATGAGACTCTTATCTCACTTTTAACCAGAGCAAAAGGGGCTGGAGGCTCTCTCAAGCCACAGAGCACCTGCCTAGCAAGTGTGAAGTCCTGAGTTCAAATCCCACACTAAAAAATATGGCTGGAGAAGATGCAAGTCACCCTGGGCGCTTCCTGGCCCAACTCTCACCTCCTCCTTGATCCAAGCACTGTAGCCTGGGGGCGTCACCCCTAGTTGGATGATGCTGGCTGTGGTGAGCACAGCCATGCACAATGGAGACACGAACTTCCACATGTAGAAATAGAAGCGGTAGGGTTGGAAGCCCAGCATCTCTGTCAGCTCCTGCATGAACCTGCCAGGCATAGCAGAAGGCAAGAGGCTGGAGGCATGGTTCAAGCCACAGAGCACCTGCCTAGCAAGTGTGAAGTCCTGAGTTCAAATCTCAGTACTAAAAAAAAAATGGCTGGAGAAGATGCAATGGCCCAGAAGTTGGCACTTCACCACTGTGAACCCCCCCCCCCACCCCCAGTTACCTCCTCCAGGAAATCTTCACTGATCAGTCCCTTCCCAGACTTCACCTTCACTGCTCATGGTGTGAGGCCTGGGTGGCCTCTGCTAGGCTCTGCCCTGACTACCTCACACCATGTTCCACGCAGGAGTATGATACAGTCCTTCAGACCTGCCCTGGGTAGGTGGACAGTCACTAGGGGGCTTTGTGTTCACCAGAGCACCCAGCCAGCCACCTTACCAGCCTGGCTCCAGCCTCCCCCTGCTGGAAAAGAGGCAGCAGTGCACTTCCCCAGCATCCAAAGGCAGGAGGTTGCCAGGATTAAGCGTTTTCTAACCCTGGGTCTGCGCTAGAGCTCCAGCAGGCAGGCTGTGTACTTGAAGCCATACAAAAACTCATCTTTACCTCAGTTACACCAATGAAAATCCAGCAATTCATTCTATTGAAAGTGCAAGCAACCACAGTAGTGTTAATAATACCTGTGGCTCTGTCTACTAGAGACTGAATCAGATATTTTTACATTGCATTACAGTTGTTGAAGATACCCAGAAACCTCATTTACACTCATCACTACTGTGAAATTATGGCCGTTACTAGATCTGGTGACTTAAAGTACCCGGACATTACTATTTCATAGATTAAACAATATTTTGCTATTTTTCAATGTGATTATAATACTGCACATCGTATGCATTTAAAAACAATATTCTGAGAAGGGCACAGGGTGGAGTCCATGGTGTCCAGTCAGAGTCTGACTCTCATGCCTTCCAGACCTGGCACACAGGGAGCAATCCTTTTCTTACGATCCCTGCCCCCTCCTGCACTCTGCCTGGAAGCAAGTGGTCCCTGGGAGAGAGCCCTGATTCCAAAACCATCAGGGCATCAGGGAGGATCAGGTTAAGGGGTTAGTGCTGAGTACAAGGATGGAGAGGCCCCAGGCAACTAACCCTGAGTAGGTGGAGAGGGCCTACTCCTTGGGGACACAGATTTGTCCTTAAATGGGGGATGACACTGAGTGCTGCCAGTGAATGGAGGTCTGCCCCAGGGTCAGGCCATGAATCCAAACCCTTTTACTGCTGAATCATCTTGCCCTGCCTAACCCCCAAACTTGGAGCCAAACCATACTTTAAAAGTGTGAATCAGCTGGGTGCTGGTGACTCACACCTATAATCCTAGCTACTTGGAAGGCACAGTTCAGGAAAATTGGGGTTCAAGGGCAGCCCAGGCGAAAAGCAAGACCCTATCTCAGAAAAACTCAACACCAAAAAGGGCTGGATGAGTGGGTCAAGAGGTTGAGTGCCTAGTTAGGAAGCCTGAGGCCCTGAGTACAAACCCTAGTACTGGCAGAAAAAAATAAAGCGTGCATCAGCATGCTGAGGTCTATAAGTTCATGGAGGGCAAGGGACCCCAGAATCCCCACCAAGTGTTTAACAAGCTTAACAGAATTTGGGGAGTTGGCACCCAGGAAAGGAAGTTTAGACTGGTGCCAGGACCTGAACCTAGGACTCCCAGGTAGGTCATCAGCATGGTTCTATCTCTTACTAGCCGAGTGGCCTGGGCCAGCCACGCCCTCTTTCCAGCCCTCAGTTTCCCAGTGCCAAAGGACACTTTTAGCTCTGATATTCTGACTCTCTGATCTCCTGCCCCATTCGCGAGCAGCTCTGGGAACACAGGACCCTCCAGGAAGTCATGTTATGACAGAACCCTCCTCCTGTCCCAGAACCTTCTACCCTGTGTCCCCCTTACTTTTTGGTTCCATAGATCCAGGCCACAGCGATGTTCTCGAGGATGACAATGACGGTTAATGGCAGGGTGGCTGAGTAGTCATCAAACATGGTGACAAAGTAGTTTCCAGAGCGCTGGACGAACAACAGCCCCACGAAGAATGCAAAGACACAGCAGCCCACTACAGAGAGCCGGGAGGCCGGTGTGGGGGCAAAGGTGCAGAGTGGCCAGGGCCCTGGGGGTCTTGGGGGCACCCAGGTCTCTCCCATCAAATTGCTCTCCCAGCAGGCCTGCAGCCCACCCTCCCTCAGGTGCAGCCCTACAGGAAGGAACCCAGTGCTGGGGTTCTGAGCTCCCCTTCTGGGTTGGGTGGGTTCTTGAGGAAGGCATGGACACTCCAGTCTTCTCTCACACCTCCTGCCCCTGGCACAGTGCCTGGGCCACTGCAGTTACTCCATTGGGTTTAAATGATTCATCTGGTTCTCGGTCTCTTTTTGTCTGCCTCAGTTTGAGAACATCCCTGGGGATGTAGGTGAGAAGTAGCCCTGTACGGAGTCCAGCTCCAATCAGCAGGGACAGAAGGGGACTGTGACACAGCCAGAGACTGGGGGTAAGACATGGAACAGGACGTGAGAGGTCAGTGCTGAGAGAGGTCACTCCTGCCCAAGACAAGTCAGCAAGCCCACAGTGAAAAGGACAAGCCAAAACTAAGCAAGAGACCTATCTCCTGGCTCAGGCTCTCTCCCCTTGGCTGTGAGTGCTGGTGGCGCAGTGGCACAGGGAGATTCCAGCTGTGTCCCTGGTGATCCCATCTGGGGATGGGATACTGAATGACCCAGTAAGAACCCAGTCTTTCTATAGTTAGAACCTTGCACGTGAGCATCAGCAGGCTGGGCAGAGCTGCAGGAAGTTACCTGTGAACATCTCCTTGGGCACCTTGAAGGTGTCGATGATGGGCGTGGTGATGCCCGCCATGGTCCCGATCATGCTGCCAAGGCCCAGGTTGATGAGCATCAGAAAGAACATGACGGACCAGAACGGGGAGGCGGGGAAGTGCGTCATGGCCTCGGTGAAAGCGATGAAGGCCAGACCTGTGCCCTGCACGGACTGAGGTGGGTGGAGAATGAGGGTTCTTGAGGCCCACCTTCACCCTGGAAGCCCCCTGCTTCTTTCCTTCTGTCCTTAGGGCTTTAAAATCACTGTTCCCTCTTTCATAGGGATCCCCACCTCCACCGGAATCCTATTGGTTGGGGCCAGACTTCAGTGGGCATCAGAACTCTTGTGGATTGGAGCAAAAGGTACCAATCCAGAATTCCCTTAGGGACCTGGAATCTACAGGTGGTACAGGGACCCTGGAGATTCATATAGAGATGCTTGCATCTAGACATATACCCAGTACAAGACCCTCCTCCTCTAAGATGTCTTCCCCGATTGCTCCAGACTCACCCCACCAAAGCTCTGAACTTCTGACCTGCAGATGGTCTCAGGCTCAGCTGCCCAGTGGAAGCAAGTGGAGCTTTTAACATCCCTAATGCCCAGGTCTTCCCCAAGTAAAATGACTTGATTGGTCTGCGGTGAAGCTGGCCTCGGGTTTTATAAGAGCCCAGGTAGGGAACCACTGCTTTAATGCTTGGGCCCTGCTCATAGAGTACCGACCTGGCTTCCTGCCAGGATCACTCACGCGCTATCCTGTGTGTGATTGTGAGAACATGTGCTCCCACACAAGCATGTGATTCCTGTCATCTGGATGCTGTTGAGGTCATATTATATGGAAAATATAATGGAGCCTTTTATATGGAGCTCAGGCATCTACCAGCAGAAGCTTCTGGACACATGAAGAAGGACAGGGTTAGCCCAGGCTATGGGTGCAGGCTCTGTCACAAGAGCCTTGGCTCCAACTGGATTCCCAGGACCCTGAGGATGTGTCTCTGTCCTGTTATCCCTTAGAACAGAACAGTCATTTTGAAAATGCCCTGCTGTGCAAATGTAAATAGAAGCAAGGTGTCCAAGTATGGGCCTGAGCGTTGGTGAGAGGAGCATCTCCTGCCCAAGCCCAGGGGGGTGGGAGTGTGGAAGCTGAGGGAGGGGACAGAAGCATCAAGGGGTGCTCCAGAGCTCTCCCACTTTCTAGCTGTGAGACCTTGATGAAACAAGGTCACCACTCCCTTACAGGCTACTCATCAGTGAAACTGGGGACAATATGAATATTCAACTTGCCTTGAGGACCAAAGGAGATGGACAGCAAAGGGCAGACGATAACATAAACACTCATGTCATGCACTGTGTACAGAGCATGTTCTAAATGCATCGCATATGGCAGGGCCAAGGTACACAGCAAGCTCACCCAGGAAGTGAGGAAGCCACCCCACACCTACTGTGGTCTCTGGGATTCATGTGTCTGCCTTGGCCCTTGGTCTGTTCATAAGCCTACCTGGGATTACAGACGTGGCTGACACTTTTCCTCAATTTCTCCCTGTCTAGATGCATTATGGATCTTCCCCTAATACGTAAACAAATGCTTGGCTTTCTAAGGCCAGGCTCACACTCCAGACACCATGGCCTGTCTCTGGGCTCCTTCCTGTCCTCGAAAAGGCAGCCCACCCCGCACCTTGTCCAGCTCCTCCTCCAGGAGGCAAGGGTCCAGGCCCAAGGCCAAAAAGCGGTCTTCCTTCACGGTCATGATAACATTGTACATCTCTGCATAGTCCTTGGTGGTGAGATGGGAGAAGTTGACATGAGGTGGAATGAGGTCCCGGCTTAGGACGTTGGAGTTTAAGTACCCCAGTATTTTCTCAGCGTTTCTGCAGTACAAAGGGGAGAGGACTAGGTAAGAAGGCAGGAGTGGGATCTGGAGGCCCCTCCAGACACCCAGGCAGGACACAGGGGCCACTGCAGAGACAGCTCTGAGCCTGTCCTGTGGGCCAGGGCTAGGGACAGATGATCCCTGATTTTATCCCCCTTGCCCTGCACGGCCCATCTGCTCACTCCTGGGTGAGGTAGGGGACAGGAAGGAGGGACAGGAGGGGACATGCCACCTACTCGACCACACACTTCTCATTCATAATGTTGGCCTTGAAGCCCAGCACGGCAAACACCACCAGGGTGGCCAACACCGAGGTGAAGAAGTTGATGAAGGACACAAGGGCAGCATCAAAGTGGCAATTGTTGTCCTGCTTGTTGTAGCTGGAGAACGCGATGACACCACCAAAGCCCAGCCCCAGGGCGAAGAAGACCTGTGTGGCTGCCTCCCGCCACACCTGGGGGTCCAGCATCTTGTCCAGCTATGGGTGAGGACCGGGGCAGGGGAAAAAAGACACAAGAGATGATGGTTATACTCATGTGCCCTGGGTTCCCCCACGCCCCTCTTCCTCAGCCTCAGTGGAATTCAGAGGCAGCATGGCAGGGTAGTAATAAGCTGTGACTGTATGAGCCTGAGCAATCCATCCAATCCTTCTGAGCCTCAGTTTCCCCAGATGTCAAACACAGACACAAAACACAGACAACAAGATGTCAAGTTCAGAGGATAGTTGTGAGGCCGAGATAAGATAAAAACAAATGCTTACAGAGTAAATTCTGTTAGTTTTAGTTGCTATCATTGCTTACCATAGAGCTGTCAGACTATAGAAAATGGCCAAGGCTATTGTGTAGTATACAATGATACTTGCTTAGACTATGGTGTGAAGGGTGCCTCCTCAAGTCATGCAGTGAACAGCCTGCACAACTGTACAAGAGAACAGAGAACACAATGTCTCCCTGAGATGTTTTTCCACTTCAGATAATGGAAGAACAAAATTCACCATCTGCTCCCTCCTGCCTACCAGATCTCCCCTTTCCCAGAAAGAGGCACCATGAACACACATCTATATAATCTAGATCACACAGTCCTCCTCCCTGACCCCTTCCTGGAGAGAGGCAGCCTCCATCTGCCCACAGACCTGAGAGGGGCCTGGACCACAACACACATGGATGGCATGAGGCCATTTCCAAAGTCCCTTTCATATCCATTTTTCTTTTACTGTTTGTTCCTTGAGGCAAGACCAAGGGGTGAAAGCAGGCAGGGTCCCAGCGCTCATGGGGGTTAGGTCTTAGGTGGAGAGATGGACACTGGTTAGCAGATGCTAAACTGCAAATGTGACAAGGGCTGTGATGGCTAGGAACTCAATGTTCAGATCACCTGCAGTGGGGGATCTGAGCAAGGTAGGAGGGCAGAAAATCGTCTTGGGGTGGGGGGAAAGGGGGTCTGGAGCTGACATCTGACAGGGGCAGCAGGGGGCAGGGAGAGCACTGAGGTAGAGGGATCAGTATGCAGGTATGTGATGAAGGTAGGACAGAGGGTGGTGGGGGAAGGGAGAGGAGGTAGTCAGAGTAGCAGCATGGTAGACGTAGAGGTGATGCAGGTAGGGTGGCGCAGGTGAGGTGATGCAGGTGAGATGGTACAGGTGAGGTGTTGAAGGTGAGGTGGTATAGGGGAGTGGTACAGATGGAGTGGTACAGCTGGAGGTGGTCCAGGTGAGTAGTACAGGTGGGACTAGGAAATGCTGAGGTCAAAGGCCTGTAGGGTTCCCTGTCTTCATCCTAAGAAAGATCCAGGAAACACCACAGGGCTGAAGAAGGAGGGACACTGGGGGATGTGCATTCCAAAAGAAATGAGTGTATGTAGCAGGGAAGCTATGAAGAAGCACTTCTGGGGTCCAGGTGGCAGGCTGTGGTGGCTTTGCCTGGGGTGGGGAGGGGCTGATGGAGAGATTTAAGGAGAAGCCAAGAAGACATCAGGGATGAACTGGAGATGGGGAATGCTGGAGAGGAAGAGCCAAAGTGACAGCCATGCTCTGGCCCGTGTGCCAGAACCCCACTGGCTATGGGACCAGTGAAGTTTGTGTTTCTGCATATTGCTTTGGTTATTTGGGGTTGGACTAATTTGAAGATAGAATACATAAAAATTGGGGGAGAGTGGGGAGGTGGCCTTCTATAAAAGCCCCTTGAGCTGGCCATTAGAGACAGCAGGGAAGGGTGACCACATGGGGCAGCTGCAGGCAGGTCTGCATGTTCTGTTCCTGCCTGTCTTTTGAGGGGCTCCCGACTTGGTGGTCTCTTTTCCCTGTAAAGCAGGAGGTCAAATCTTCTGCTGGAATGAGTGCTGGAGACAAGGGCGGAGGGTTCAGAGGGGTGGAGGTAGTGTCAAGGGAGACAGAACTCAAGAAATGGGGCAGGGCTTTCCCACACTGCTAGGGCCATTGACCTTGCACAAGTGGAACTCTGGTTTGTTTTTATTTTTATTTTTGTTGGGATTGGGATTTGAGCTCAGGGCTTCAAGCTTGCAAAGCAGGTGCTCTACCTCTTGCACCACACCTCCAGTCCATTTTGCTCTGGTTATTTTGGAGATGGGGAGCTCTCAAACTATTTGCCCAGGCTGGCCTCAAGCCATGATCCTCCTGATCTCTGCCTCCCAAGTAGCTAGGATTACAGGCATGAGCCACCAGTACCGGGCTATTTGTTTCTATATTTTGAGACAGGTTCTCCCCAGGTAGCACAGGCTTGTCTCAAACTCATGATTCTCCTGCCTCAGCCTCCCAAGGGCTAGGCAAGTGCTCTACCACTGACTAAATCCCTAGCCTTGAGGGGTCTGGCTTTGAAAGTAAAATTACAGAAGTAATCCAGGTAGGTCCACAGCTCCTTACCTAAAGCCTTGGGGCCAAAACTGGATTTGGACTTCAGGCTTTTGTTTCCAATTCTATTTTAGGAAGATAAACTGATGCCTATCTCACGTAATTGCCTAACAGTTTCAGCAGGGTCCAGGGCAGCACTCTGGAATCAAACACATTAGGATTTCTGTAGCAGAATATGAATCTCCACACCAACAGAGACTATAAATAGTCTCACATCTGTGCAGGTCATTTTCCCTCCAAATGAATTCTAGAGGAACAAAACCAAATTGAGGCAACTCTTGCTTTTCAAGGTGATTTGGGTTTTAGTACTGTGGACAAGGAGATAGGGGCCTGTACTGTGTTTAATAGTCATTTGGAGGTTACAGAAAATAATATTCGTCCCCCTGTGAAAGGATTTCTGTACCCCTCTCATTCTCATGGGTGATGACTTTAACATGATTCTCTCAAAACACTCCATAAATGGGTGAAGAGATTATGCACACCTGAAAGGCACGCTGGCCTTCACTAGTGTCCCCAGCTGTCCATGGTGACAGATCTATCAATCTGCTGAAGCCTGAGCACTTTTCTTAGCTAGAATCCAAGACCTACTGGGAGAGCTATGGGCAGTTTGGTGAGTGCCTACTAGGAAGAATTACAGGGTTTTGAAGAGAGGCACATTGAAATGGGCAAGCTCTGGTCATGTTCCTTACATGAAAATAATTTTCAGTGTCTCCCACTGCCTCCTGGAAATCTTTCCCACTCTGACCTCTGCACTTCAAATTCAGTGTACTACAAATGCATCATGGTCTCTCATACTTCTGACCTTGGCTCAAGCTGTTCCCTCTGCCTGAAATTTCCTTCCTGAAATTCACTTTCCAGTGAACTCCTACTTATTTCCCAAAACCCAGCACAAATATCATGCCTCTGAAGCTTTTCCTGACTGCCAATGGCAGAGCTACTCATGGTCTTGGGCTCTCATACCTCTTGTCAACCAATAGCTACATCACAAGCTTGTGTGTCTACCTTCCTTCCAGCTGTTCATATGAAGGGTGGGAGTCATGTCTTGTTCGCATCTGTATCAACAGTGCCTGGCATGTGGAAGAGAAGGTAGGAGTGGAGAGCAAGACAGAGACAGAGACAGACAGACAGACAGACAAAAAGCCGATCTGATCGAGGTCATGAGCCAAACAAAAAGAACTGGACAAGGGACTGTGAAGTTGGACCTGTCATTTTGGGCTATGATGCCCGGTTCCAGATTCTTAGGACTTCAAAGTGCCACTTTGTAAAACAGTTATTTTAGTGCTGGCTTCCTCTCCTCCTTCCCTCCCTATATTTTTGGTAATTATTTCTCTTTTTATATACATCAAATATTACTGTGAACCAGGAATGGTGGTGCACACCTGTAATCCCATCACTCAGGAGGATGAGACACAGGAGGATCTTGAGTTCCAGGCCAGCCTAAACTATGTAGGGAGAGTCTGTCTCAAAAAAGAAAAAAACCAAAATGACAACAACAAAACATTACTACAGTTTTTACAAAAGGTCTAGATCATCTGTGAGACCCAAACACATGTCATTATCAGGATTCTTACCACTCCCTAAACCTAAAGCGAGGGTGTAGATAAATTCCTAGCCCCACTCAAGGGACAAATTTCATAAAAAGAAACAGCCATTCCAGGTTAGATGCCACAGTCCCAAATGGATTAGCAATATCTTGGAGGACTTCTCTGAGGACAGGGCAGGACTGCAGCGTGTGCAATGACTTTAGATGGAAACAAGATTGATTCTGTGTTTGTTTACCATTTGTCTATTTACATTTTTTCCCATTTTTAAAAATTATAAAACGAACACAAGTGGGGAGGATAGAGAAATGAACCCCCCCACTATTCCCATTCTCCAGCTTTAACAGTTATGAACACCTGGCCAACCTTGTTTCTCTATGATCCCACATTCTCCCTTCCCCTAGACTATTCTGAAGGAAACTGATAGATCTGAACCTGACAATGAACTCCAGGAAAGCACCCTCGCTCCACTAGAGCTTGACCTTCAAGGAGAAAAGTGTCCTGTGTAAAGTTCCCTCAGCAGCCCCACTTGCAGCCTGTAGCTTGGAGGGCCTCCCCCACTGATGGAGATGAACAGATACCCAATGCTAATCTGGGAGTAAACTGAGTCAGGCTCCTTCAGAATGGGATGCTTGGTATTTCTTGAATTTAAAGGAGACTGTTGCCAGGACTCCTGGGGTGAAGATGTGTGATTTCAAACAAGTGTCCACAGAGGATGAATCCCTGCCCAGATTCAAGATGTCCCGTGTCCCTTCCAGACATTAGGATGTGACTGCAAGAGGAGAAAGATGGGAACTGGGCTTTCCCTCCGACGCTAAGCTCACACCCTCCTCAGAGCGCCCGCTCTGAAATAGAGCAGTGGCTTCCTGCTGTTTCTTTGGCCCAGTGGCTGAGTCACTTCCTCGCCAGGGAACAAGGTGTTTCACCGACATGAAAATGAGTCTGGATCCTCACGCAGCTGCTGAGTCCCAGCCTGAGGACCTGGTGTGGGGCAGCAGTGTGCGCCCTTGCTTCTCGGCACTGCTGTGGCACCTGCCGGTGTGGAGCTGGATGGGCCACAGACACCAGATGGCA